AGGTGGGTAGGCTTAGGAAACTACCACAGTAACAAGGCAATAACCGGTGCATTTCAAGTGAATATGCCTTATATGTGTCTGTAGATACACGAGTCAATGCAAGAACCCTTTTGGTTGTCTAGAGGTCTATTGAGGTGTCAACTATTCACACCATCCCCACCGCCACCATCACCATCACCATCATCATCACCACCACGCCACTATCACCGCCATTATGACCACCACCATCGCCGCCACCATCATCACCACCACCACCTATGAAAATTCACACGGAGCTCCAACCCAAAAATTCAAAAAGGAAAAAGTTGGGCACACTTCTTGATTTGTCGATGTCGAACTCGTGCAATGAATTCGGTCAACCTTCCCCTTCCCACGGACCGCAGTGCGTTGTTTTACCCCCACTTGAGGCACAAGTCATGTGGCGTGCCAACGTCTTTCGAACACGCGGCCAAAGCAATGGCCACCTAGTTTGGCCATTGCAGCCTTCCAAACAATTGCTCGAGAACCCGAGCGCAATGCAATGGTTTGGTCGTGAGGGGACATGTACTGGTGTCTATTCTTCACACCCCCGCACGAATGAACTTTGCGTTGCTTTCAAGTTGAAACCGCAAGTTATGAGCCGTACAGGTTGTCAGCCTTCGAGTTATGAGCTGTTTTGGTTATCAGCCTTTCTCACAACAGTACTCTAGCTCTCATCATTCAGTCACACACTTTCTGCGCTGCTTACAGCAGGTGTACAGGCGGTCAGCTGCCTATTGATCGGGATTCGGCAGCCATCAAACCGGAGCAGGTGAGAAGCAAACTCATAGGAAAACACGAAAACCTCAGTGTTGGTCCTCATGCCTGAACGGGCGCAATCCGGACACCAGCGTGTCGCTGGGGAGCGGGATGATTGGTGGTGTCCGCGAGGCTCGGTGTTACACTGTCGCTCCTAGTCTGTGGCACACCACAAGAGTGTCACACGAGAGTGTCCCAAGAAGCTCCCACAAGAGCGTCCCATAAGGCATAAGAGTCATAAGAGGGTCTTGCAAGGGTGTCCCACAAGACTGTCCCACAAGAATGTCCTACAAGAGTGCTTGTGGGACAAGAGTGTCTCCTACAAGAACGTCCTACAAGACCGTCCCACAAGAGCTCCGCCTACAAGAATGTCTTACAAGAGCGTCCCACAAGACTGTCAAACAATCTTTAGCCGTTTTTTTGGTGCGTGTGTGCATTCGGTTTTGTAGGTTCCATTTTTTCGTTTCTCCTTGTGTCTTTACCTCGAAAGTTTTGCTCTCACCTTTTGTCCTTTCTTGGACCGGTGTTGTTTTTTTGCAGATATGATGTGCTATCTTGCGTAAAATGGTCAGAGCCCAAGTACGACTTGGGGTGGTTTGAATCACGTGCTCGTTATGTGGATTGTGGTAGATTCCACAATGATTAGCTGAATTTCGGTAATCTCTACGTACAAGCTCCTCAAGCCTGTCAAAGAAGCTTTTCAGAGCTCGGCACGGGTGTCAAGAATACGTCCGCTGGCCACACCTACTTTAAACATGTTCTTTGCATCCCATTCCTTGGAGCCGGGCTTCAGCCTCCTTTGTCCATCATCCCGTAGGAGCAGTGTTCAAGCTTTGAAGAAGTAGCTAATAGCTAGGTGTAGAGCCTTGGATTTCAGCTCCTTTGTGCTACAACCTCCAGGCACAGTAGGGGTTGTGCAAATCTGTCGCAGGATTTGCGCCCAGTCCAACAACCTGTTCTGATGCGTGTTTTGCGTGTTGCACGGAGGTTAGGCGATATGGGTCGTGGGGGACGCGTTTCCTGCACTTTTCTTGCTTATGGGCTGCAAGTCAGCTTCTTAGCCAGGTCTTCCTACAATATTAATATATGTTAATTAAGGGAGGCTTTCTTGGGAGGAAGATTTGCTCCTGGCAGCCACGTCAGCCAAGTCAGTCTACAGAAAATGGTGAGATGTTGGTCTGAATTGCGCATTCAAAATCGACAATTCGGTGGAACTCTCTCCGACTTGCTTCATTACAAGACATTCATGGTCTTGTATGCAAGCTTGTGAAGTCACACTGAGGCACGGGGACCGCTGGATTGTTGACATGACAGAATCGAAGGAACGAAAATCGTTTGACCCTCAGCAGGAAAGAGTCAATGATGAATTCCATGAGTGTTGGGAATTCGCAGTGGACCGCACAGGTTCAAGCCAGAAAATGTGGTTATTGTGCCAGAGCGTATAACAAAAAAACGTAAAGTGGAGGCGTGACCGGCGTGCCATCTATTGCACTATCAGCAGCTTGTCCTACCCAGCTTTGAGAAACATGCCAAACTCCAGGAGCCGCCTCCGGAGGAGAAGAAGGTTCTTAGACCGAGCGAACGAGAGGGAGGGCTCAGAGATGATGAGGATCAAAAGGGAGAATTCATGTAAAATCGGAAATTATGTCAGTTCAATCTTGTTGTTTTAAAAGTTGTTTATATGGTTGTTCTTTCCTCGGCAGACTTTGTCGCCAGATGAAGACTTCCGACCTCAGAGACATAGAATCTTCAGATGAGGCCAACATGTCAAGCAAGAAAGGCTCAATACCTCGCCACAAAATCAGTGCATTTGCAGACTGTGGTGGCACGCTGTCTCCTCCGCTTGCTTCGCGAGTATCTTGACAAGAAAAGCTGACAGGAATTCCTTGAACAGCTCTCAGCAACAGCCTCACACAGTGTCTTTGGATGTCTTTGGACTTCCCAGGTTTGAGATAGTCGCCCAGAAGTGTATTTGCGTGCTGGCCACGAAGACAAGCATGACAGTTCCCTGCACTATGTATCCAAAGCGAGTTCATGGACAATGCGTTTTCCTTTTTTGAAGAGTTTGGAGGATGCTACTAGTAGCTCCTGGCAATACTACTAGGAACCCGAAGCTGCTAGTAACAAGGTGCATCGCTACTATAGTAATTACCAAGGACGCTGTCATTTCTCAGCTCTTGAGGTTATGAATGAGCTCGCGGCGCACCTGACCGACAAGCAGGCACCGAACATCACTCCACCATAGAAGCCCAAATAATATCTTGTTGAAGGCTCCGTGGAGTCATGACAGACGCCAGGCAGATGGCCTCTTGCGACGCCCTTTAAGACCTGGCGAGAAGGCACGGAATTATCAGGTTTGCTTCACCGTCACACTTGAACAATTATCCACGCTACCAGATTTTATGCGTAGGTGAAGGGCATTGAAGAGTTGGATGCGCAAGAGCAAGCTGTGAAGTCCCAAGTTGCGCATAACCTCGCCGATCAATGTATATAACGTTTGGGCTACGTTTGAGGTTTTGCTCTGTGAGAAGCCAGGGCCTTAACTAGGTTGAATCAAGAGTTTGGTGCATTGTTACAATTTGCAAGCAAATCTTGAGTAGTATCTACACTGATTCACTTGCGAGCCGGCTGCCCCAACAAAAACTTGCTCATAAGGAAAGTGCGATCGTTGGCCAATTCTGCTTCTTGGACTCATAGTGTCCGCTGCACATCTGCAAGATCTGCAAGAAAGATCAAGAAAGTATTAAAATAGTTTTATTGAACATACTTCAAGAACCCTAAAGTTTACGCTTCTTAGTCTGTTCCAACATGACACTTGCGGTCTACAGCGGATCGGATTAACACGTCCATGTTGCGTGGCAGGTACAGCAGGGTCAGATTTCCACACCCGTTTAAATTTAAAATACTTATAAGGCTTTCAGGTGTGGAAATCTGACCGCAACTTAGGTGTCGACATGTTGCACGTAGGATTCTAAGGGGAAAGGGTTTGTGATGTTTTAGAAGTTAAGAAGCGCAACTTTCGGCACCCCAGTGTATATATAATATATATGTAATTATATATACCATTCTATATAAACCTTAAAACGCATTTCACTTGCAGCATCTTGCAGCCTGCAATTCAGGTGCGTATCAACTACTGCGATCTCTACGGCTTTTTGAAGTTTGGCTTCAAGGAATTCGCGATCAGTTTAAATCGACCAAGGGTTTGTAAGCTCGACTAGGATGCCAGCATTCCGAGTTCCGAGTTTCTTCGATTGTCGACACAAGTAGCGACTCGACTGCCTTTCTCCAACTTAAGCTCGAACAGTTTTAAGGTCTTGATACCACGTGATTAGGGGTATCCAGCTGCCAGAGCAACAGTTAGCCATAGTCTGTCAGGGGCAGCTTGTTAAAACCTATATGGTTCATTGATGATACAGAAGTGCACAGCAGCATGGTGACCTACTTGCGTGATGCTCGAGAGGTCCTTCAAGTGCTTGCTGCAAGGGCTGGTGACGCAGACACAGTGACATATTTGCAGTGAGTTGTTGATGTCACATGCCAATGTGGTGATTTCATACGTGAAAATGTGCAATATGGATCAATATGGTGCAAAGTCTTTTTGTGAGGTGGGGTTTGCCTGGTTGTTATGCCACTAACGCACAGAAACTTTCTGCCAGAGTTCACGGCTTCGAGTGTCCTTGGGGTTTTGCCTCGAATCTCCTCAAGGCTTTGGCTGAGCCCAAGCTTGCTTAGCACCATGCGCCCTGACAACTGCTGACTGCTACCTCCCTGTGCTTTTTCATTCCAAAAATTGCACAGAAACATGTAGAAACAACAAGATTTAGAGGTGTTCTTGAGCAAAAAGATACCTCGAGCAAGGCAACCATTTGCGTTCGTTGCATCTCACTACCAGATAGTTTGCAGCCTCAAACTCGAAAACTCCAGAATCAAGACAAGTTTTAAAGTCACCATGTAGGCGATCGGTAATGTGGCGGGCGTCATTTGATAAAGCGCAAGATTGTGATTTTGGATGTGGTGAAGGCCCCAACCTCTGACACACGCCGCCCTGACAGTTCAATTCACAAGCTTCGCTTTCGCTCTACATTGCACCTGTGATCCCAAGTCGCGTGCAGCCTTGACAGCGCCATTCGCAATACTATGTGCATCATACCGACCAACCGCCCACGACCCGCCTGTCATGCGGACTGAACCACTCGACAGCAGCTGTCCCGCTCTCGGAGCACTCAGCATCCACGCTCCCGCTGTCCTGCACTACCCTTTGCACCTCTCCATACCTCTCCCCATTTATCGCCGAGCTCTCCGCTGCAATTTTTCAGAGTGGTGGCTACTCCCCCACGCACATTGCTCTTCAATTTCCATCCAAGGCTTCCATTGGGCTTGAAAGTTCAGACCACTGCACCCCGTATTGCAAAAGTACTGCAAGTCTGCATGGCCAAGTGGTATGAAGCTTCCCACGACTGCCACAGCGCTTCCCAGGGTTGTTGACTGGCACATACTTTGTTCAAGACTTTCCATTCCTGCTGCATCATTGTGAAAGGTGCCACGATTGCCTTAGTAGTACCTCCCCGTGCATATTTTTGCCTCTCAATATTTTCTTTGCCCAGGGAACAACTGCTCAATGCCACATTGCAGTGGATGTTGCTAGAGCCCTAGAAAGGTTCCAAAATACTTGTTGCCCAAAGTTCGGATGTCTAAAGAATAGTAATTCTATTTTTGCGGGGCTCTTTATGGGTTCTAGCATCCTTGCACCATTGCACTTGAAGTAGGGACTGTTCTTTTTCATTTATGCGCTTGGCCAAAGTTCAGCTCGCATGTTTCATTCGCAGGAGCCCAAGTTCAACCGCAAAAAGACACTTTGAGAGTTGCAAGGCTAGACGTGCTAGGCTAGACGTACTGGAGGCTGTGCAGGCACCCGACTTGCATGGCATGGGGCATTTGTCATGACCATTCGCCAATGACAACACCAGCTTTGCGAAATGCGCCCCATCCAAAAAGTGCAGCAGAAATACAGCCTGAGTATTTATTTCAATTTGGTTCCTGTGAAAGTGAAACATGTGGAGCCACTCGTCGTGCTTTTGACCGAGTAGGTTTTCCGTTCGTTGCTTGCTACACGCAGTAGTAGCGGAGCTACCAAAGCTCCGGGGACCGCGCAGCCATGTCAGGAAGCGAAGCTGGAGACTAGTATGGACCTGGTCGAGCACTCGCCATGTCGGCGACCACTGCGACACCATCCGGCTTCATGCGGCGAATTACGTCTGTGATGCGGATTTGCGCGGCCTTGGTGGAAAGTGCGTTTGCGTGGCGCCGTGCCACTGGGGAGCGCGAAACATGCTGGCGTAAACGCGGCGTGTTGCTGGTGAGCGGGATGATTGGCGGTATCGTGTGATAGGACTGCTTCTATGGTGTGTGGGCAGACCGCAGTACCATGCGGATTTGCGCGGCCTTGGTGAAAGTGCGTTTGCGTGGCGCCGTGCCACTGGGGAGCGCGAAACATGCTGGCGTAAACGCGGCGTGTCGCTGGTGAGCGGGATGATCGGCGGTATCGCGTGATAGGACTGCGCAGGAACCTGGTTTGCAGCATGTCTTGTACATGTCCACGTCGCCCACTTTTGCCCAGGGGCCCCTTTTTCAGGATAGAGCTGATCACTGCGATCAGGTGAAAAGTCCACCGTACTGTGGGTACATTGTTGGCCGCCATATCGTTCGAACGATCGCCCCTGCGCTTCCTTCGCTGCATTGGCAGCGGAGCTACGTGCTCCGGCCGTTGGGTTTTGCTTGGTGCTGCCTGCCTTAGCCGGGTTGAGTACATCTCGAACGAAATCTCCTCGTGGCAGACAGCACCTGGTTTGTTTCTACATCCTTGTCATTAAGGCCCTGCTCCTCCTTGAGTTCATCGACGACACTGGCCTGAGCAGGAGCTGACTTGGATTGAGCCCCACTTTTTTGTTTTGCATTTCTCCTTTATGATTCGATTTTCTCCCTGGGCATTAGAAGATGAGCGACAAGGACTTCCAAGTCCCTGGATGGGACGGCGCCGCCAGAACATGGCGGCGATACACCAGAAAAGTTGCTTGGTACTTTCGTGCCACCCCTGTGAGCAAGCGCAGGTATGTGGCAACCAAGCTTTTGGCAAAGCTGTCAGAAGCGGCAAGGCTTCTGGCCATGAGCTGGAGCGACATGTCCCTCGATGACTACAACGGGACCAAGACCCTGCTCCAGCGTCTGGCTTCATCGCCGCTCGTTCGACAGAGCATTCCAAATGCCTCAGCGATATGCGCACAATACTTTGAGTTCAAGAGAGGTGCTCACGAACCCACGACGGCCTTCCTGGTGAGAGAAAGCCTGGGCTTTGCTGAGTTCGTTGAATCGCTGGTGCGCCTGGCTGAGCAGAAACGAGGTATTCGACCAGAAGATGGTGATTTTGGATTGCCCCCTGAAGAATATGAACAGGATGATGACTCCACTTATGCCGCTTGGCAGTACTGGCAAGAGGACGACTGGGCAACTGCGGAGGTGGCCCTGATGGAATTGGTACATCGTCAAATGGATGTCCTGGAGGAGGAGAAGAAGCCACGTCGTTCTCCCTACAAGAGTCAACCTGCATCCAAGACTCGCGAGACAAGCCCAGCTCAGTCTTGGGATATGGTGCCTACAGCGACTCCGACCAAGACCAAGGAGTCGACCTTGGAGGACGAGCTGTGCCAGTACCTGGAGACCACGGAGTTGCAGCAGCTCACCGCCTCCTCAAAGATTGCAGAGCAGCAGCCGGGGAGTCAAGTCCTCCGGCACTTCAGGGACTGGCCGCAGCCTTCGAAGGGGAACTATGAGCTCTTCATCCTCACCCTTGAAGCGTTCGATGGCCAACTCAGGTGATGTTGATGGCTACAACATTGATGAGCACTATGACATCCATGACTACAGACTTCCTGCTGGACAACCGTGATGGACTATGGGAAGTGGCTTGTGCTCCTCATTCTTGGCTCACGGAGGCCTGTGAACAACAAGGCCTACGACCACGGCGCATCAACTTGACGGAAGGCGGTCCACATGGGATCACATGCGAGATCTACGTCGACGTCATCGTCCTCGGCGTCTTTGGTTCTCAATGCCGTGCACCAAGTGGTGTCGTTGGACCGCGCTGAAAACTATGCCTCTCCGGAGAAGCGTGAACTTCTTGCTGGCTATCGACGCCGTGAGAGAAGGATGCTATGGATGATGGTCCGCTTCAGTGAAGAAACAGTGGAAGAAGATCCAACCACAGACATCTACTTTGACTGGCCCTATCCATGTGAAGGTTGGAAAGAAGCTCCTCTAATCCACTTGGCCGACTTTCTGAACAAGCTTGGCCTTGACTGGCTTCCATGTCGAATTGATGGCTGCCGCTATGGCTTGCGAGAAAAGAGTGGCGAAGGTGATTTTTTCGAAAGCAATGGTTGGTGCGCACCACTAGCACCAACTTCGTTTCGAGCCAAATTATGTCAAGGAGGACACTCTCATGCCTACATCCAAGGGATCGAGACGGCGAAGAGTGCCTACTATGGAGTATGGTGAAGGCCGTCGCCCATGTTTGGAGGCAAGAGCTTCTGAGTGATCGCAATCATCGTTTGCTATTTGCTCGTCAAGACCTTCCGGCCTTAAGTTCACTGTGGAAGAAGAGCTACTTGCTGCTGAAGAACAACATCTTGCTCTCCCAACTCTACGAGCCTCTGCAAGCAGCGATCTACAACCTTATGAACCTCCTTCGCACTTCAACCAACAGAGCGTGAGAAAAAGGAGCGGCACACAAAACTACATCACTTCTATCGTGCAGCTGGCCATCCGACTGCCAAGAATCTTGCTAGGCTCATCAAAGATTGCAGTGCTCCTCAAGACCTACCCTGGGCTCTCTATGCAGGCTGAATCAGCGGATGAGGTCATTCGTGCTCTCTCCTTGGGGCGGTTGGCACACTATCCCAAATTCAACCAGTTCACGGTGGAACAAAACATCTTTCTGCACTTCCCTCCGGAGAAAGAACCATGGAGTCATGGAATCGTTGAAGCAGCAATTCAAGATGTGAAACATGTGGCCTCAGCGAATCAAAAAGAAGCCTTGGACAATTTGCCGGAAGTGACCTTAGCACTGGCCACCTCAGCTCTGAACAGCACCGAGTACACCGCTGGCTTCTCCTCGCATCAATGGGCTTTTGGTGCAAAGTACTCCATCAACGATGAGGATGCACGCATGTGGCAAGGTGTAGCTCCTCATCTGGACTTCATCAACGCCTCCAAGGCCCGCTTAGCTGCTGAAGAGATTGCCCGACAGTCTCGCGCGAGAAGAGTGCTGAGTAAACTGGCAGACACAACAGTGAAGCAGCCTCTCCGACAATATAAGATCACCGACCTCGTCATGGTTTGGCGTAAAGTTCAAGTTGGTGATCAACATCAAGGCAGCCGAGGGGGTCACAAGAACTCGTCACGGAGACAGAGCGACTTCATCATGAACTGCATGACCTCCGATGAAGATCCTTCAAGCTGGAAAACTTTGGAAGATTTGTTGCCTCACCGCAGCTATGACGACGTCACCAGTGAAGTTCCTGGCGCTGATGAGCTAGAGCTTCCAGGTCTTCCAGAAGAGCCTGATGAGACGACCTATGCACCAATCCGCCGAGCCATCGGCAAGAGCACCTTGGGACCATCTGACTACAAGAAGGTCCATCGATCTACTTGGATTGGACTTGGCCCTCGCTCTACAACACCAGCAAAGTATCTTCCAGATCCTGTACCTCGACCAGAACCTGGTGGTTCTTCCTCTTCTGCCAAACTTTCACCTCCTGAAGGTCTTGAAGAATACACACCATCAAGTGGCGGAGAAGATGCCAACAGCTATGAGAACAAGAAAAGATCAGATGATGGTGCTCCCGTCACTGAGCCTGAAACCAAGAAGCCTCGACATGAAGACTATGATCTTGGTTGGGTTGAAGCTCTTCAGGCCGAGGCCATGGAGGAGATCACCCACGAGGACATCTTCAACGTCCTTCAGGTCTATGACGGTGACTGCCTCTCCATTGAGATCGAGATCAATGTGGCATCTCATACTCAAAAGCGAAACTTCCTCCACAACCCGATTGCCTACCTGACCAAGAAGCTGAACAGCGCCGAGGTGCATCTGAAGCATCTCTCTGATGCGGAGCGCCTATTGTTTGTTCGAGCCAAGGCAAAGGAGGTGTCATCCTTCCTGAAGAACCAGGCCGTGCGCAAGTGCTTGGATGACAATGAGCTCCGTGATGCTACATCTACTTACAAACTTAACACTGTTTCTCCACCCGTCGTCTAGTTCCAGGCTGTAGAGCAAACGGGACCAAACCAGCGCTCGACGTGATCGATTGGGGGACATGCTTTCAAGCCTTAGATCCACTGGACGAGATGAGTTCCCAGCGTGCGTGGAGAGCGTTTCGACGGGTTGTCACGCGACTTGCTTGGGTCAGACAAAGAGGTCATCCTGATGGATCACGGGCGCGTGAGAGTTTCTTGGAAAGTTCTCAGCTCAAAGTTTATTGTCCAAAGAACCGACTTTTCAGCAGATCTGGTTTCTCACTGGCACAGCGACCTCTAAATTCGATAGGCCGCCGTGGAGTCTTTCCTGAAGCAAACAGCTCAAGAAGAGATTCAGAAAGCCATCACAACCAACCGCTTGTCCAAGACGTTTTTGCCAGGTGGTGGTCTACGCGTACCGCAAACCATTTCTAAAGAGAGGCCAGACAGCGGTTAGCAACAGACCTTGCTGGGTTGGCCCCAGCGCGATGGTTGAAGGTTCTCCAGCTAGGAGAGGAGGCCTGTGGGCACTCCCGTGGAGAAGGAAGCAACTCCTTGAAGAAGAGATTGAGCATTGAAAAGGAAACTGCGCACAAAGATGCGTCAAACTCCCGCTTGCAGAGGAACCGCCCAGGCATAGAGCAAGGATCATGGATGAACCTGAAGAAGGACTTCAGGTCAGGATCAGAGGAAGCAGAACCCTTTGAGATCCTGGTCAGAGGCGGAAGGAGAGGAAGAGCAGTTCACACCTGGCAAATCGGCCACGCAGTCCGATACAGAATGAGATGCCCCCTCAACGCAATAAAGGTTTCAGAAGCCTTTCAACCCACAAGCAGCGATTACGAGCTCTATGTCAAGACAGCTCAGGAAAAGGCAGAAGTAAGAAAATGAAGAGGCCGAAGACTACTGGCTTGTAGGCTTGTAGATCCTGATCGTAAAGCCTTTCAAGCCACATCCCCATTCAACAACTGCCAAGTTGTTTTGAAGCACTTGACCTCACATTGAAGGTCTGGTAAGACCACCTTGGATGGAAAGAAGACAGTGTCAATTGTCAACGGGAGAGCGGAGGACAAAGGAAGAAGAAGAAGAAGCACCGAAATGATTTCAAAAGAGCAAATGTGTCCGAAGAAGTGAAGGCGTTGCTGGTGCAGAAGGTGAGTGATGAGGTGCAGGAGGACAGCATTCCACTTGAAGAGTTGCACAATTAAAGGAGAACGCACCTCAGTTGGCTGAAGCTGGAAGATCTTTGAGAATACTTCCTTCAAGGATTGTGAGGAAGTGGAAGCCAGCGGACCGGCCGGGTCAACCTCAAGCAAGAAAGTCAAGGTGGCATGTCTGAGGACGCAGAGACCCAGATCTCTTACCCTTGAGCCGCTATGCTCCAACGGCCACGACAGCTGCAGTATCAATTGCCACGCAAGCAGCTGCGAACCGAGGCTGGAAGACAGTCATTGGAGGCCTCAAGACTGTGTTCACGCCGTCAGACGTCAGAGCCTTGGCGGCAACCAAGAGGAGGAAGCAGGGACAGCTGATCAAGATTCTTGCTGGGGCTTGTGGTTTAGGAGATGCTCCCACGCGCTCACGAAGGTCTCGGAAGAAGGTGTTGCTCGAGTTGGGGCGCGCGCAGTCCGCGATGGATCCACGCTCATTCAAGGTCGGGAAGTCAACAGCGGCGTAGCGATTGTAGCGGGTGATGACCTTCTATGCCTTGGAGACCAAGAACATGAAAGGAAGCTGGAAGAGCTTCGCTCACGCTTTCGGTTCGGGAACCTCGTGGATTTAGCCAGTTAACCTGAGAGCTTTCGAAGGGACCTCATTCAACGAGAGGCGAGTCCGAGCTCGCGAAGGCGGAGGCGGTGGAGGATATTTGATCGACGCGAAGAAGATTGTCAGCGAGAGGCTCGAGGAAGTTCCAATCAAGAAGAGAACGCAGAGAAAAGAAGGAGCCTCAGGAGGAGAAAGGCCAGGCAAGGGCAGCCATAGGGGCACTCACACGCACCACTAAAGAAGACAGCGTCTGTGGTTGCAGCTGCGAGGGTTCGCAGTGTTGAGTTATATGATGAGGAGCCGATTCGGACTGGAAATCTGATTGGAGGACTGGAAAAGATGCACCGGCTAGTGAATTTAACACTTGCTGCAGAGGCGCGGAGCATGTCACAGTGTACAACCGACACACCGTTTCACTGTGAGGAACTTTGAGCTGAGAAAACGGGGAGAAGCCATCGAGCAAGGGCGCTTACACGCAACGGTGATGCACGCAACGGTCAAAACCACCATCGGAAACACAGAAGACCGGAGGACTGCAAGCGACATGCAATGCAGTAGGCAGCTTTTGCGCGAGGTAGGTGTCCATGTAAACTGGATCCGCCGGGAGCAGCTGCTTGTGGATTGTCCAATGAAGACAATGAAGGGATTTGGCAACATCGTGCTTTTGACCGAGAGTCGGGACCACCTTCACCGGTGGGTTTGCCGTTCGTTGCTTGCTACCCACAGTTCCCAAATTTGCACCAGATTTGATTTTGCTTTTGTTCTAATGAGAATCACTGAACTCACACTGGCGGCAGCTCAAGCAGTTAGACTCAAGTCCTTCGCACGCAAGAAGGGAGGCCAGTTTGCGCATTTGTCGCTTTACGTTTGTTTTGTGCATTTTTTCGCGCAAAACTCTTGACAGTTGCAGGTGACGCCATGGCTGGGCTCACAGAGGAAATGAAACAATTGCGCGGAGCTGGGACTTTTGTCCGTGGTGAAGTACATCACCCACAATAAAGTTTTTTTGATCTAAGGGCAGGCTTTCGCCGCGGCGTGCCCCTGCAGAACAACCACAGGCATTCGGACCTGCTGCCACCATTGAACGATTGCTGTTGATGGAAACGCCCAGGAACCAGAATGGTGAGTAGTTGCAAAAATCTGTGCATACGCCAGCAAATTTGTTTTGTGTTTTTTCAAGCATTGCATTTGAATTTGAGTGGCCTTTTGCCGACATGTTTCAGTAATCTTGGTGATGAGCTTGAAAAATCAGTTCAACTCACAACTGGCAGGGGTGCAACACTGGAAAACTCAGAGTACCTAGCTTCGAAGGCCAGTGCGCGCGTGCCTTCATATTTTGGTTTCCGGATGCGCGTTGCGTAGACACTTTCCCATTAGGTTTCGTGGTTGGCGCCGAAAGCAAAAATAGACAGATCACGCGGGCGGAGTGATCGTATTGCAAATCCGCACTCACCGAATCTGCTAAGGGGCGTAAGCCTGTTGGGTCGTGTTCTGTTTTTTCTCTTTAGCTAGAGGGGGGCATATCCTGCGTCATGAAGTGTGTTTGGGAGAGGAGTGGGAGTGGGAGATATGAGATATCATGGGAAACCACATGGTGTTCACATATCATGTTCGTTTATCTTTGTTTCTCATTATAGCATCATTTGCATCACCAGGTCCATGAAAAGCAAACAAACGACTCCTCTCCATGGTCTACGCTTTAGTACCTTTCTTGCACAAAATGCCTGCAAACTCATATAGGACACCGCGAAATATGTACAATTTCAACGTGGTCGAAGAATACTTCGAACAGTTTAAACTATGCTTTCGATTTGTAAGAAGGACATAGCTAAGCATTTTGATGATATTCATTCATCCACTTCACGCTGCGCTCACCTCTAAGTATTGCCTTGATCATGCACATTGCATAGGTTGTTGCAACAACCATTCCATTGTTCGGCGCCCTTGAGAATGTACAATGTCAAGGGTGTCGAAAAATATGAAAAATAGATCCAACAATGCTTGCAAATTGTAAGTGGTGCGTGTATGGTTAAACAGTTGATCAGGCAGTCCAAAACTAGAGTGAATTACTATTGGGGCTTCTTTCACCCTCTCTCGTTGTTGTGAAGCGACCCGAATACAATATACATCAACGCAGGCCGACCGGAGGTGTAGCACCGGGGCATTCATGCATATATGCATTTTTCATGCATACCTACCGACCTACCTACCTACAGACTGCCCTAACCATACCATATACTTGCCTACCTACCTCTTTGCGTACTTACCTGCAGGCAGCACACTGTTGCTGCATCCATCGGAAATTTTTGGCTCAAGGCTCGTGCAAAGGGATTGCAACCTTTTGGAATTATTGGCTTTTGGCGTTTGCGGCTTCTGCGGCTTTGGGCTTTGGTGACTCCTGTGGCTTTTGACCTGAGCAGCTTCTGCGGCTTTTGGCCTTCTGTGGCTTTGGGTTGGTTTAGATTTGATGGCGTGCTTTTTGTTTCTGGTGGAGTTCGTTGGGTTTCAATGGCGTGGTTTCGATGACAAATTCTTGTTTTCCACTTTGGTTTGCTCTCCAGCTTTTTCAAGCCAAACCAACTAAACAAAGCTAAGTCGCGGCCGCGGCCGAACTAGAGCGAAGGCCAAGCAGCTTGGGGTAGGGGATGCATTCAAAGCCCATATGGAGCAACCAAGCAAAGCCAAGCCAACAAGAATCAAAAAAAAGCAAAACAACAGATAAAGAAGGAGCAAATGCACGCTAGCCGTGCAGCCTGTACAACAATGAAGTCACACTTGAAACGCGAACCCCTTTCTTTGAGCTCTCACGTTGCGTTCATCTCCACAGTTTACATGCTCATGGCTCATGAACCTTACGCTTCTCCAAATTCTGTGGAACTTCAGCCTGAGCTTTGTCCTGGTGCTGACATTCTCATCCATTGATACTCCTCTGTATGACATTTGCGTGAGGCGGATGCGCTTCATGATGTCGACTGCTCTTCCCTTTGGCGCTATATATATATATATAACTGGCCCCAAGTTATTGGTAAGCCCAGGAAGAAACCTCAACAGCTGGGCATCAAAATCCGCCTACTGCAATGGCACCATCGCGAGTACATCAACAAGTGTTGTGTTCTTGCCGGACAACGTGGTCTTCAGAAGCGTGAACCTTTTCAAACATGCCAGAACTATAGCAAACAAGTCAGCGCGACAGCATGACCCGACCACAGCATCTCAGCCTGACAACACGTCAGCATGTTAGCGCGCCCCACGTCGGCGTGCTGGCGTGACAACGTATCAGCCTACCGGGGTGGCAACGCATCAGCGCGTCAGAAACAAGATGGAACCCACGAACCCGAACGCAAACACGTACTTGAAAACAAGCACCCAAACAATTTTGGACACTCTTGTAGGAGACTTTTGTGGGACACTCTTGTAGGACACATTCTTTTCGGAAACCTTGGTGGGAGACTCTTGCGCACTCTTGTGGGACACCGTGTATGACACTCACTCTTGTGGGACAATCTTGCGGCTTGTAGGACACTCGTGTGAGACACTCTTGTTGTAGGACACTCTTGTCGAACACGTTTGTAAAACACACTTGTGGGACACTCTTGTGGAACACTCTTGCGGAACACTCTTGTAGGACCCTCTTGTGGGACACTCTTGTGGGACACTCTCACAGGACACTCCTGCGGAACACTCTTGTAGGACCTCTTGCGAAACTCTCTCGTAGGACACTCTTGTGGGAAAAAATGTGTGGGCCACTCTTGCGGGGAACTCTGGTAGGACACTCTTGCAGGACATTCTTGTGGGACACTCTTGCGGGAGACTCTTCCGGGACACTCTTGTGGGACACTCTTCTATAGGACACTCTTGCAGGGCACTCTTGTCGGACAGTTTTGTGGGACACTCTTGTAGGACACTCTTCCACAAGAGTGCCCCGCAAGAGTGTCCTACAAGAGTGTCCCGCAAGAACGTCCAATATGAGTGACCTACAAGAGTGTCTCACAAGAGTGTCCTACAAGCGAGTTCCGCAGGAGTGTCCTGTGAGAGTGTCCCACAATAGTGTCCTACTAGAGTGTCCCGCGAGAGTGTCCCACAAGAGCGTCCTGCAAGGACGCCCCACAAGTGTGTTTTACAAGAGTGTCCCACAAGAGTGTCCTGCAAGGATGCCCCACAAAATTGACAAACAAGAGTGTCCCACAAGAATGTCCTGCAAGAGTGCCCCTCGAGAGTGTCCTACCAGAGTTCCCCGCAAGAGTGGCCCACAGAGTGTCCCACAAGAGTGTCCTACGAGAGAGTTTCGCAAGAGTATCCTACAAGAGTGTTCCGCAAGAGTGCCTCGCAAGAGTGAGTGTCATATATAGGTTTCCCCCAAGAGTGTCTCACATCTCCGGAACTCGAACCTCGTCCGGAACTTGCTCGGGAACCCCCTCCGATCTGCGCCCAGGGTTTTACTATGGCTGAAGACCCCTAAGCCTCATTGTTGGCAAAAAATATAGGTATCCACCGGTTTTCTAAGGCTGAATCCTGCTACACATATCTACACATTAACACGGAGTCAATCACTTGAAACTAGAAGTTTGGTAAGGGGCACAGACACGATTTGCTTTATGGGACCAGCGATCGTACAAGTCGTAGCAGGTGCAAGTCCTTCATTCTGGTCACCAGTCCCAGAATGATTATCATGTTTGGCAGGAGAACGTTCAGCCTGTGGAGCTGGAGAATTTGAAGAGAGTATTCAAGTGGCTCGAAACACAGCCCACGCCATGCGCACAACCGTCGCACCATTGCCTCCCTGGTTGAGGCTTGACACCAAGAAGGATGACAGAATTTGCTGGCAGGAAAGCGAATGTGTTTCAAACAGTTTACTTTGCAATCAATCCTTCAGTGGCATTTGGTTTTGTGCAGAGTTTCTTGCTACAGTAGGTGTTGCATTGCCAGGAGCTGTCAGAAGCACTTGTCAAACTTGGTCCGCAGCTGACAGAATGTGCCGACTCGAAAGGGTTGTTCCAAGTGTTTTTTCCAGGTGCCAAGACACCAAAAGATCAGATCGAGCTTTGGATCTGGGAGGCTGCGAGAGTTTTTTGCCGAAAACGTTTTGAAAAACCGATGTCCAAAGTGCTAGCTGCCAAGCTGTCCAAGTTCCAGGGGTGTCGCTCGAATTTGTGTTTTCCTAGATATGTTCAGTTTTATATAGATCCAAGATAATTTTGAAGTACAGAAGTTCGCGGGTACGGTTCTTTGCATTAATTATTGCCTAATAATGTTAAACTCCTTTAGCACCAATGGAATGGCACCCTTTGTTCTTTCTTGGCTGCAGGTGGATGATGATTTGGATCAGATGGTAGGACAGCACCTCCTCTCGTTGAAGGACTTAGATCAAGATGAGCAATGATGTACAGTAATGTGTTTTGAGGATGGGACGAGTTCCTCACTATGTACCAAAGGACGGGTCAAACTTGGTCAGCACTGCTCACCTGGCGCAAGAATTGCATCATGTCATGTCGGACAAAGTCTCCATCCAACCTCATTGGAAGCAACCAACTAACCGAAGCAATCAAGTTTCACATTCAGGTGCATATCTGACCAGACAGGCTTCGAGCAGCATCCTTAGCTGCCTTATTTGTTTCTCACTCCAATCCTGCGCCCACAGAACCTCTAGGCCCAGAAACCTCTTTAACTTGGTCCAGTTCTTGATGTACGACAAGGACAGAGCTGGTGTGTTGGTGTGTTGTGGCAGCGGGGCGTGGTCTGGTGGTTGTGGTATGGTTTCGGGAGTGTGCAGGTCGGATGGAGTCACAACGGCAAGATTCAGACACGTCCAAGATGAATTTCATCATTGGAGTTGTCAAGTTTCAGCTTACTGTCGATCCTATTTGATCCTATTTTTAGGTCCAACGTCCTTCTATCCAACACAATGAGTTGCCTAATGTGAATGTCTTTTCGCCATCACACAACCTGAGTGGTGGGCATGCGTATGCCTGTACTTTCTACAGTGAAAGTGCTGCTTCGCTCTGAATTATAGGAGTGCATCGAGCTCCATCAAAGCTGCCAAGTGTTCACAGATGTTTTTTGTCAAACAAAAACATCCGTACGGATTGGAAACCGTACCCTTTTTTGCAGGTTCTCATGTCAAATTCACTGGTAAACGCAGTGCTTTGTCATGCGTTTAGATAAAATAAATAAAACACGGCTTTTTCGCGAAACCTCAAGTTGCCTGTTTTTTGTGTTACCAGCTGTCCCCAGTCAGGCTCCGAGTGCAAGTCTTTTTCATCGATGCCATTGTCGATCAAGTGTGAACAACGAAAAACGAGTTTCTAACACCTGCTCCCAGTTTACCCAGCCACGATCTGAACCCAAACCTGTTTCGTGAACAAAAGAAACAAAAGAAACTCAAGGGTCAGAACAATCACGAGTTAAGCCGTCTACGTACTGGTCTAAAGAAAAAGGGCTGAAAGGAAGAAAACACAAAAACGAGGAGGACAAGAAACACCCGACAACCGAAACAACAAAACTAAAGCACACACCGTGGCTACGTCTTGAGCCTTCATGCTCATGAGACGTATGTGAAAACAAGAACGATTTGACGGCACCCACCCCCATGTTTTTCTGTTTTTGGGCCCCCTTTTACGCTATTGCTTCAACTTGGTTACTGTATCTTGCCATAACATTTGGCTCAAGGTATGTGCATGTGAAAACAACCGCTCGATCGCCTTCGCTCACTCGCTCTTGTGAACCTTGTTGGACTGTGAGTTGAATCCAGGGATACTATGTATTACACGCTCCGCTGCAGGGAATTTGACCCTCACCCCAACCCCCCAACACCATGCGATGACATGACCAAGCGTCGTGGAGTCCAAAAATGTCAGAAAAGTGGGTCCGGTTTTCAGTCCCTATGCAAAAACATGAATGACGACTTGGCCCCATTGGTTGGGAGCAATGACAGTCATTCAATCAAGACATCGTGTGCAAGTTGGCTTTGGAACTCTCATCCAAACCAAGCACCCTTCAACGATCCGGCAGAAAGCCGAAACTAAATGGGCCAACGAACAGGCTGAAACAGAAGAGAAGACCCCGTCTCAAGAACCTTTTTTGCCAAACGGGCATTTCATTTCGTGTGAGATATCCTGCTTCAATTCAAGGGTGGAGCACTCTACAAAGAGTGTGTGTGCGTGTCAACTCCCGTCTCTAAGGAGACTACAGCATGTTCAGACATCAGGATCTGGGGTGTTTCGCAGGATCCAACGAAATTGTCGCTTCGAGGCCGTCGGAGTCCCGAAGAGTACTAGCCTCCCAATCACGCTCCATAGAAGGGAAATCCCTTGCGTGTAGGAAGGTCTTTTGCCCTGGGGGTCATGGCATTTGCTTCCCATGTTGGTGACCCGAAGATAGTGCATGAGGTGACGTGACAAACCCCAAGATCAACTTTGTATATACAGGTCCATGGAGTCCATGGCTTGGCCAACTGCGCAGTTCGTTTCGTCAATATACAGTGCAGGGGAGCGGAGCCAGGTGAGGGGTCTCCGGCCAAGGAAGACACCAATCACCTGGGTGCAAACGTACCTGCACTTGTGACAACACCCCACTCTTCCACCGCTGTGGTTTGTTTCCATGGTGTTTGCATGATATTCCCCAAAACCTTTTATGCACAGCGTTAATTCGATCTGCTGGGTAGTCAGTAACTACAATCCGGAACTTCCCCAACTGATACTGCTCTTGCGAGCCCTTATCCAAGTGTGGTATGGTCCTGCACCTGCCACAAACTTGTTGTAGGGAACGTCTCCGATCTTATGCCAGCTGGGCCAGGCCAGAGGAAACCTCGCACTGACCTGCAGAGAGAGAGAGAGAGAGCGCCCACCTTGGCCAATCGCACCATTTGTGGCACCAAAAGCACAGCCCTGGTCGAGCTTGCCCACACCACCGCTGGCATCCGAGGACACCTTGAAAAACATGCCATTCTACCCTCGCCGTAAGAACTCCTACAGCAGCTGAGCAGCAGAGCAGCTGCTTCCGAGATCTTCGGATTCAAAAATTGTCGTTCGCCTCTTTCGCGCTCATTGGTGCAAAGACCGATCCTCCTTCACATCCATCGGGTCGAACGCTAGGAGTTCCATGGCAAGATCAGCGTGGAGCAGACCCTGCAGATTATTTATGTCCGACACGGCTGGGTTTGTATTGAGATGTATTTGGAGATGTCATGAGATGTCCGTTTTCTTTTTGGCTGCAAAATTTGATGGATTCTTCATACACAGTTTTAGATGTGCAGAATATCGCAGGCAGAAGTAATTTGGATGATGAGATCACCGAAATCTTCGGGCAGCAGCAGAAAGGAGCAAACTAGTTCAGATAACATACAAGCAGTTGGAAGTCATCAAAAACAGGAATCCGAGAGGGCAGACCATAGAATATTCCGATCTGTACTTGGTCGCAGATGTTGAGAGGCTCTGATGGCCAAGAGTTGAAGATCTCCTTCTCCCAATATTTAGCTTTGGGCTCAGATGAGCTCAGATGGGCTCAGGAGCACTTGAGTGCCTTTTGACAGTCATGAGATCTTGTCTGAGCAGTGTGTGTGTGTGTGTGTTCGTGCGTCTTAAGAATTTGGCAACAACTCAAGGCGCGTGCCAACGCAAGACTGAGCAAACTGCCAGGGCCTTCAGTTGCCTTTAATCACCCTGTGCAGAGAAATGATTTCTGCTCTGGCGAGGCGATGGCAAGACAAGAAGGTGACGAACCCTGCCAAGAAGTAAATACTCTGAGGCTTCCTGCTGCACTGCGTTTCACAGCGTTTCACGGGTGCACGTGTCACAGGCATACTCAGGCATTGAGGGAACAATGGAGATATCTCAGCACCTTTAGGGCATAGCTGTCGGCTTCTCCAAGCACCATCCACAAGTTTTGAAGGTAGAACAAATCACTGCCAGTGCACGCTTCCAGGTGCTTTCATATCAAACACTGAACCCAACAAGACAAGGATTCTGTAAGCAGTGTGTTTTGCAATTCTGGCGTAGTGAAGTGCTTTGCTCTTGCTGTGAACACACTCAGGGTGGTCCGAATTTGACATGTTACAGCAGGTGTGTTTGTTAATGTTTGTTACATCGACATGTTCAAGCAATTAGATTCTACGCTGCGAGATGCTTTTGTGTGTTCTTCACTTTCTGCAGACAGTCTGGACACGGAAAGGTCTTTACAGGATCACCCAGAGTTCAGCAGTGGAACAAACCATCTTCAGCGCCTGGAGACAAAAATTGCTGAGGGTATTGCATGCCAGATGGAATGACAACCATGGCCGCCATGGCCACAGTTTGAAGCTTGCTCCAATCAGGTCAGAACTTGGACAAATGACTGAAACAGGCAAAATCCATCCATGGACATTACTGCAACATCCTGCAGCTATGGCTAGGAGAGACCTTGGACATTTCGTCAGGATAAGGCATCGGACAAGGGGTAGAGTATGACCTACTTGGACCTACTTTTTGGTAAGTTATGCGATTAAACATTTCTCAGGCAATACTTCGCTTGTCTCTAACCATCGGCTTTTCATGGGGGACACCAATGATTTGTCAATTGCATTGGGCCGCTTCGGCTATTCTGCAAAGCGACTGAGCTTGCATACAATTTCGAGGCAAGCCAAGATCACGGTAGATGTTATAATGATCTGCAACAGATGCATCCACGTCAGCTCATGAGAACATTTGTGCTTTCTCCCATGTGTTTGGGCCCAAGAAGGGGCCCCTTTTGTGACCCGCACTTGACCGCCATGAAGGCACAGGTGGATCGCTGAGGTCCTACGGAAAAGGTCACTGCGGCCTTTGAGATCCTTTGAGCATAGCTTGCTTGGTGTTGGACAACCTCCTTTGTTTCGAGCCCTTTGCGCTGCCCCTGCGCTCCGCTACATTGGCAGCGGAGCGGACAGCTCCGGGGCCATCGTCGAGTACACCATCGAAGATTGGTTTGAACTCCGTGGCCTACCTTTTTGGTTTTGTGCTCTAGCTGCCTGGAAGGGCTTGCACTACACGAGAATGCCTTCCTCGCTTTTGGCTTTGAGCTTGGTGACTTGGCATAGCGCCCTGGTCGCTCCTTTTGTGCACTGAGTCTTCATCGACTACTTTGACCTCACCCCTGCCTTTGACCTTTTGGCCCTTGGCTCCTAGAGATGTTTCTTGAGAAGGAAACCATACCTTCTTGGGATGGATCGGCGCGATCATGGAGAAGGTACACCCGCGAGGTGTGTTGGTTTGTGAGAGGAACGGCAGTGGAGAAGCGGCGCTACTGCGCCACCAAACTGGTTTCAAGGCTTCGAGGACCCGCTCGGCCACTTGCAATGTCCTGGACCACCACGGACTTTGACCACACCCACGGCGCTCGCGACTTCCTTCGAAGACTGGCTGCATCGTCCTTAGTGGGACAGACTTTACCAAATGTACTTCGCCTTCAAGCGCGATGCACATGAAGCAATGAACAGCTTCTTAGTCCGTGAGGCCCTTGGCTACTCTGCATTTGTTGAGGCCCTCCTGCTTTTGTTCGAGGACAAGAAAGGCATCCGCCAACACGAGAAGTCCTTCGACCTGCCGGATGAAGAACCAAAGCAGGAGCAAGATGACTGGTGGAACTACGATGGCTATGATGAGCCAGCTGAACCTGGTGCTTCTGGTCACGCGACCCCTGCACAGGCTGATGACTCCAGCCCTGTTCACTCATGACAGCTGCTCGTGATGGCGGCGAAGGCCTCCACAAGATTTCACTCCGAGCCACCGCTCAGTTGGGATCGCCATGACTGATGTCCCACCTGGCTTTGGCCCTCTTGGCACCTTGGATGAGTTCTCCCTGGCGGACTCCTTCGTCTTGGGAGTCTTGAGAGGCTTTCGCTCGGCTGGACTGACAGCCGATGAGAAAAGAGACATCTTGTCAGCCACAAAGGGCAGATAAGAATTTGAAACCATCACCCAGGCGCTCCAAACGCTCTGGGACGAACACTTCCTGGGAAGCAGGGCATCGTCTTCTACAAGATCACCTATGTCCGGTGCTGTGGCGAACTACTACCAGGACACCTTCCATGCAAATGCTACGCAAAGCTGGTCTCATGCTGACGACCCTGGCATGAATCTTGGTGGCGTGATGCCAGGCCTGAATGGCATGAAGCGCAACATGGTCATGCTGAGGCCTCACCTCCTCCTGAAGACGACCCAAACGACAAAGATCTTCAGGACTCACCGCAAGCAGAGAAGGAAGCTGAAGCTCTGGCTCTCCAAGCTCAGAGGACGTGGTCCGAAGCTCAACGCGCCACTGCAGGAAAGATCGAGGCTTCGGCCAACACCGACCTGGCTCTTCAGGCGACGTCTGCTGCTTCAAATGTGGCGGCGACCACAGCTTCCCACCCAAAGGAAAGCATTATGGAAAGGGCAAGCCGATGTTCTGGTCTGAATGGGAGACACCCAAGCTCTACTGCATGAAGGGAAACGGAAAAGGAAAACACAAGGGCAAGAATGCTCACGCCCTCAGTGAAGAGGACGCTGACGTGTTCGCCATGTGGAAAGGAAAAGGAAAGAACAAATCCTTTTCTGCTGGCCGACCTCCAGTCAATGCCTACTCCAGCGAGATCTTCTATGGCCTGGAGATGAAGGAACCCATGAACCTCCATGCCACTTCGACATCCAGCTTGAAACCAGGCTGTGCTCTGTTGGACTGTGGGGCAACCGCCTCGGCAAGTCGAGAGGAATCTGTCAAGAACTTGATCAGCGCAATCGTCGCTGTGGATCGTGGAGCGACCGTCCAGGTGGCAAAGTACATGAGACCGTTTTTCGTTTTGGCAATGGCAAGTGGGGGCAAGCCAATTGTCGTGTTTCGGTGACCTCAACAGCTTCAGGCAAACCTCGTTCATTTCATGTCTACTGCCTCCCCAATCCTGAAGAATTTCGAAAAGAATGTTTTCACCACTCCAACATGGTCCCCATGCTCCTTGGTATGGACCACCTTTCAGGTCAAGAATCAGAAGTTTCAGAGTCAGCCCTCACTATTGATTTTGCCATTGAGTCGAGGAACCCTTCACCGACCATCTTCCAGCTCCCCGCGAACAAAAAGGGTCACTACATCCAGGACATTGCGCATTCCCTCGCCCTTGGTAACACCAACTTCACGGGGAGCCCCACCATCAACATCGTCGAGGGGCCCTCGACGTCGATCGAGCTTCAAACATTGGAATTTCATCCTGTTGAGTTTCATGACACGAGTCTTGGAGATGCAGTACATGATGATGATTTTTTGGAACAGTCCACGCAAGCACCTGCTTTCGTTGCATGGGAGAGCACATGGCCATGATCTTCAACCAACCGCCGAAGCTAGCTGCCCTTGGACAACCGGCCCTCAATTCGCTTGTGTCCGCTCCCTTCCATCATGGCTCAGGGACCTCCGACGAGTGCACCACGGGACACCCTGGAGTTCATCAACTCTATGACTCCGGCAAAGACTCCATCCCGACCTCTGCAAGTCGAGTGATGGACATGGATCAGCACGACCCACGCTTGGATCCAATGCTCACGGAGAGCGGGTGCACTGCAGAGTGTGCAACCCTCGCCTGCGCTGCACGCCGAAGAAAGGCAGCAGCAGCGCTCGCACCAGGTGGCGAACGCCTTCATGGCTACCAGGACGCTGGACGAGCTGAAGATCCTCACGCGCAGCTTCACACCAACAGCGGCGATTTGCCTGGCCACGCAGGGGAAGGTCAACGCCGAGGAGACCCTCAACCACGGTCGTCCGTCCCCATGGCCCTCGTCTCATGGACCTGGAAACTGAAGCGCAAAGCAGTTGGGTCAAATGACGCTGAAGTTCAGTCAATCCTTGAGGCGGAGGACCAGAACTTTAGAGTTCGCTTGCTCTGGAGCGAGCTCCATGGCGTCGGCCCTCGGCCTTCAAAGTGCTGATCGCCGAGTCGACCTGGTGCAAGCAGCCGAAGACCAGGCCAGCCTTCTGCCTGGCGCGCTGTGCACAGACAGCCGCGGCGGCTACGATGCCGTCGAGGTGAACGAGTCACCGTTGCTCGGCCTGAGCAACACGCGGGCGGCCTTGCAGTCCTTCCAGTTGCGGGACGACCTGCGCCGCGTGGGCTGCGAGTTGCGCTGGTTGGCCTCCGACTACGACTTTGCGGATGGCTTCACCAAGAAGCGCGCCGACAGGCGCTTGGGCTTGGAAAAGTTCCTTCGCACCTGGCTGTGGTCGATAGCCTACGACCCGATGCGCTCGGCCATGGCTCCGACCCTTTGACCGGCACTGGGTCCATGAACTCCTTTGCGGCGCACGCCCTGGCAATGCGCGCTGAGCAGCTTGAGCTCGAGCAATACCACTTGCTGCTGAATGAGCGAGCCTTCACTCATGAGCTGAGTTGTTTTTGCCCTGGTGCAACAGATGCTTCCACGTCAGCTCATGAGAATACTTGTGTTTTTCCCATGAGAAGGGGCCCCTTTTGTGAGACGCACTTGACCGCCATGAAGGCACAGGTGGATCGCTGAGGTCCTACGGAAAAGGTCACTGCGGCCTTTGAGCATAGCTTGCTTGGTGTTGGACACCCTCCTGTGTTTCGAGCCCTTTGCGCTGCCCCTGCGCTCCGCTACATGATCTCAATATATATTTTTAATACATACATACTGTATATAGCGTTGCAAAGAGAATAAACAAGCACTTTGGCTTCCTTGTACGTTCCAGAGGATGACTAGCAAATCATCATGTTTTGGCCACCTGGCCGCGACCTGCTTTGCAGTTGTCGGATTGCCTTCGATCCTGACCTGAGGCAACTGCCACCGCCTGCCAACATTTACCAACATCGGGATGCGATGGTAAATGAAGTTCGGAAGAATCTTGCTGAAGGTGGGAAACTGGATTTGTAGTGTCAGCAACAAAGTACTAAGCGGTTTCGGACATGCTCATGTCGCTTCATTCCCCGTGGCTGCGTATTGAACATACATGAGTCTCAGGAGAGTTGGCGCTGCAGCAGCAGCTGAGTCGGCAACAGGAACAACTTGAAGAGCTGCAGACACAGCACCTCACCAGAAAGTGTTTAATGTGAAAAAGAGAAGAAACAAATTAATGTAAAGGGCCCGTTTAATGAGGCCTCCCTTACAGGAGACTTGTTAAAGAAGCCCTTTACCTTTTTTTTGTGTGCGTTTTTTCAATAAAGTCCAACCGCTCTGAACATCTCCGACACCCAGCGCAGGCAACGCACACGCTTCAAGCTAGCTCTTGATTGCCAGGCAGCGTGCGTAAAATGTGCGCAATGTGTCAAATGTCAGGCCTTGCCAATCGTTTTCTCCAGGTCAAGGCAGATGAATATGCTTTAAGCAAGAGACACAACGAGCAGCTCATGCAGCTCCAACAGCAAGCCCAAGCGCGCCGAGCACAGCTCGAACAACAGGCTAGAATTCTGCGTCGCATCAACCTGTCTCTGAGTTTGAGCCTAACTTACCTCTTTGGGTTTCAGGGTTGTCCATTGTCATGTGAGGCAACCAGCTTGGTTTTGGAGTTTCAGCAGCGAAACTGGGACTCAAGGCTTTCCACTTACCCAACCACGGAACACTTGGGTAAATGTGAGGAAAGCTTCAGGAGGAGTTCTTCTTGCAGCAGAAAGAAATCCATAGGCAGCATCAAGAAGAACAGCAGAGGCCTGGAAAGAGAGTTGCTGTCTAGAACGTGTATTATACACGTCACCGCACTATATAATATAACGAGTTGCCTTGAGTGAGTTCCTGAGATATGCTTTGCAGGTTAGGAAGTGAGCTGCAAAAGTTGGGCTGTTCAGGAGAGTGCTAGAGTGCTTGGTAACGCTTTATTTTTGCGATACTTGTTCAGCAAGAAGACAGGAGCACAAGCCCTGACACTATTGGGCCCTCAATTCTTTAAAGTGTCGAGACAAGCCAAAGAATCGCTTCTTGGCAACCTGGAAAGTTCCAAACATTCAAACATTCGACATGTGTTTCACATGGTTTGAGAGAATGCATTTGCAAGTGGTTCCTCTCATTTTTGTTGCAGAGACCTTTACCCATCGCTTAGCTTGAACATGCATCGCAAAAGGTAGAGCGAGACTGAACCCTAGCATGCTAGGTAGGCTTTTGCAGGATGCGCGTGCATTCCATACCTTTGATTGTAGCCTTTTTGGTGGAGCCATATCACCGGCTCGGTGTTCACACTTGAGTCGGAATATCGTAGCCCCTAGAGGTTTCCGGTTTGATAACTCAGGCCGTCTAGTTTGACACTGAGTCATATACCAAGCTTCACTACGCCGAAGGCTGGACTTGCAACTGAGGGCTCGGCATGGCTCGGCTGTTCTTGGCCAGGCAGCATCTCTCACCACGCGGCCTTCCTTCCAGGTCTTCCAGAGCCATGTCGGCTGCGGCTGTCGGCTCACTTTCATTTGTCACGTAAACATCCAAGTCCAAGCCCCTAATTGACAGGCGATAGCAGGACGAGTTGTTGGAAGTATCTTAGATGCAAAAGTTTGTTAGGAAAACTTACTTTAGTTCGTGAACACACAGATGTATTGAGTTCTGGAAGTTCTGGACCTCTCTACTTCGCAAGGCATGCAACTACCGGCGGGAATGAATCGGTCATCCTCATGGGCCGGTCACGACTTGAGAAAACAAGAGGCATCGATCAAAGCTGTTTGAAGGCATTTGAAGACCGTTATTATTGATGTTTTATTTTGCATGCTTGATGTGCTCTTGAAATTCAGCTTTGCCTCATGAGATCTCATGAGGAACCTCAAAGCTAAAACATAGTGAAGCGACATTGTATTGGCATAGATTTGCCTTGTCAACAAAAGTCCTGGCAAGGGCGGATGCGATGTCCCTTCTTCCAGACTAAGGAATCGATAGCAGCATAGGAAAAGAGTCTCAGTGCTTTCAGCATGTTCACGAGCTTTTGCTATGTTGGCATCATTGAACTTTATTTGGTTTGACTGTAGCCTTCGTCGTAGTGGATATGACTCTTTGGGATTGGTGTTTGGAGCGCTCTCGTGGCATGTTGGGCCGGTAAGGAGGACCAACATCAACATAAACTCTATGCGTTCTGTGTTTGCTCCCTTGCTTCACCTTGATGAATAAATAGGTGCTGTGAAAACGTATGTGAGGACATGCACCACCTTCGATAGCCACCGGTTCCTGACAGGTTCCACCACAGTGACTGAACACGTCACTTCGACGCACTGGCTCAAGAAAAGAGCGCGTGTTTTATGCTGCCAGTGTCGGAAGCAATTCCACACTGGTAGCGGAGCCTTGCTCCACGAGACCTCGGTCCCTCCCTTTCGTCACAGCCCGTTGAGGCCACGCTTCGTTCGCCGTGGTGCTCATGGCGTTGCTGGACACATTCCGGTATGTGAACTTCATCAAGGAGGCGGAGAATGTGAACAGCATTGACGGCAAGAATGGTGGCGGCATCCCCCGCTTCAATGGAGAAGCCACTCGCCTTGGCGAGTACGCCTGGCGCATCCGCGCATGGCCAGTGAGGCTGAGTTGCGCTTGGTGGAGCAACTATCCGGCGCTTCGTGTGGCACAGCAGGTGCCTCAATCAGTGCTGGCGAGCAAAGAAGGCGTCAAGAAGCTCTTGGAGAGCCTGGCATCGAAGCTGAAGCCACGGCGGGTCCAGGAGGCTCGTGAGCTGTACGCTGCTTGGGTGGAAAGATCACCATGGCTGGAGTTCAGCCTGAGCTCATAGCCCAACTCTCGACTTCACGAACGAGAGCATCGAGGGCGTGGGATTGGCCTTGAGAGGCCCAAAGACTCTGGTTGGCGACGCCGAGGAAAAGGAGGTGGGCATGGGATTAGCTACTTCTCTGAGGAGCACCCGACCAGTACGATGACTTCAATACCAGTCCGAGCATGTCTACACCAACGAGGAGAACTACAACGACTGGCAGGACTATGACCTCGGCGAGAATGATGACCATGGAGTACGCGGCCGACATCATCCAGGCCGATCAAGAGGTATACTTTGCGCGTGAATGTGCCAAGGAAAAGGGCATCAAGGGCTTCCAGAAGGGCAAGGGCAAGTCTTCCAGCTCTTCGGCAACAAAAGCTCCAGAATCTCGAGTCTCAAGGCCCAGGACCTGCAGGAGATGCGGCCAAGTTGGCCACTGGAGTGGCAAGTCATCCAAAGGGTCTGATTGGCAAAGGAGAAGGCGCTGGAGACAACAAGCCTCGCACCGTGTTCTTTGCCGCTCGAGCGAACGAGACCACGGGTGACCACACCGCCTTTATGGCCTATCGCACCCCCTTCAATGTCTTTGGAGCAGCACCACATCCGACGGAACTGCGCCAGGGAGAGAGGTGGGGTGATGTTCAATGTGCAAGAAGGCCAAGAGGTGATCAGGAGGACCTCGACATGATGATGCTGGTGTCAGCTTTGGGAGTTTCTGAATACATCGACTCCTGCAAGACTACCAGCTGAAGCTCGAGCGCCCGCACCTCTACCACCTGGACGAGACCCCCGACCACGTGAAGAACATGTTCAATGGTATAGTCGTGAGACCTCGCCTTCACAGGCCAAGCGTCGCCGTTGCCGTTGCGGGGTCAGTCAAACTAGGGATCAGTTCATTCATAGCGAGAATTGATGGGGCATACGTTCATTTCACCCGAGAATCAAGATGTGTTGGTTTCAAGGCTACAACACTTCTCGTTTCCAGGCGCCAACCTTTGAACGCCAAAAGGGGGAAGGGACGACCAACCATTACGGTTCAGCTCTGCTGCTGGTGTCGCACTTCAAGGCTGGCTTACGTTGTGAGAGCCAAGAACATCGTCAACGAGGCCTCGGATAGGGGATCTTTGATGACGGCCTCAGCGGTACACATGCTTGCTTTTGGCGTTCTGAAACCGTCTGTCTTAGAGCAGATGTTGAAAACGTAGGAGGAACAGGGAAATTGCAAAAAAAGACATCGGCAGAATGCAATGCAATGCCTTTTTTGTTGGGAAATTTGAGTTACCTTCTGCTGTTCCAGACCGGCAAAGACTATCAGAATGTCACCGCCTCACACGCAGGTGGAGAAGAATTCCGACTGCCAAGAAGTGACCCGATTGAAGAAGGCCTGTCCTGGAGACGTTCCAGAGTTCATTTCTTTGAAACACGAAGCAATTGGCAGGTCGATGGCAGGAGTGACCGCAGTCCAACGATAGTTGCAAAAGGGAAGAGGCCGGTGCCCGATATGCCAATGGTACTCTTGGTCAGTTTGGTTTATTTTTTTCGGCATCAGGGTATATTCTCTGGCACATCTTCTTCGCAGAAGTTGATCTTGTTTTTTGATACGATTGTATCAGATACGGATAAAAAGCTGATACAATTCAGCGCTTCCAGGAAAATAAGCCAAACGGCAAGCTTTTCGTTTATATCCTTCCAGGGTATTTTCGCTTTGGCAAGCTTTTGTTCAGCGCTGCGCATGGACTTGGTTCCTCACTATCTGCAAGCAGCGGCTGTCAGGAGAGCTGTGCCAAGTTGGACAAATTCAGAGCTGTCGTGCCTGCAGAGTGTCATTGGACAAATTCAGTGCCCGTCGAAAGGAGCATGACTTTTCGAACAGGTTCCAAGGGGAAACTTTGATCCCACGACATGGTTATTTGGTTTATTTCTGTTTATTTGCCTGTGGCTGAAGGCCAGTGTAGAAAGTGCGCCGCCGCCCCCATGTTTCGTTGATGTTGTAGGATTTCTTCAAGAGTGGAGTGTTGCAAATTATGCAAATCTCTGATTTCACTAGTATTTGGATTTCCCGACCATGAAATGAACTGGGAATTCCCCGTACGAGCTGGCTCATCGATTGTGTTGCTTTTGCTTCATAGCGTTGCAGGGCTTGTGGTCAAACTGTCGTTTGAATGTGAAGTGTTTGAGCTTGGAGAAACCCAAGTGCAAGCCTATGGATTATAGTTCTGTCCACATATCTTGGACTTCTGCAATGAATCCAAAGTTGGTTAGCCCATAGCTGGTCTCTTTGCCGCCGTCTGCATTTCTGTCCACAGCGTTTTCAGCACCTTCCGCTACCACAACAGTTGCAACACTTTGCTGGTGGAAGTTTGGCCTGATGTTAGCAAGCACTTAGAGCATATCTCAACATCTCAACCATTAGTACAAACCTTTGTTGTTTGAGATACACATACACATGCAGTACATTAAGATAACGCTTTGGTACACTCTAGCAGGAAAGTTTCGACAAGTGCAAAGAAGACATGATTCACATGGTTTCCGCGTTCAAGAAAGTGCCAAAAGATTGACATGGCAAGGTCGATTGAAGCAAACAGCCGGGTGAAAGATGCTATTGCAAAGAACAGCAAAACAATAACGGGGTAACAATGCGACACCTTCTGCCAAGTTATTCATCCAGTGCAAACATGCAGCCTTTTGGGTTCCGTCATTATCCTTGGCGATGGTGTGGCCATGGACTTAGTTTCTTGCTAGATTTCCTTTTGTCTGAAGTTCTGGAGAAACATTCCTGGTGTCAAAAAATATGTCGCTACACCCTCGCCCTGATATTGCAGACATCACACAACCGTAGATCATGGCCCAATTAATGAACATATTTTTGAAATGAATGGAGAATGGATTTATGTATAGTTTTTAGCATAATATAATGTGAAACCAGCACGGAGTGATAGCATTTTGGGCAGGAAGCCCGGAAGGGCCCCGGCGTTTCTGAGAAAAGGTAGCGGCTGCCACACTGTGTTGCACATGTAAACATTAAACTAGGTTTGTTGTGCGGAGGCAACTTAGCTTTGGGGCGTCGGCGCGTGTAGGCATTGACGTAGGAACAACTTTGATCCCTTATAGGCGCCTCGGCAGCATCGCGTAGAATTCGCGTAGGCGCTTGTCCAAGACCATGTCTTGTGTGAGCGGAAACTGTGGCCGCGTATGCAGGTGCAGGCACTCGCGTAGGTGCTAAGAGATTTTAGGAGCTTTTATTTCAATCCAAGTCGCTCAAATGCGCAGGGTGGAAGCATTGAATCCGGATGTCCAAGCTTTTAGTTGCACTAAGTTTCTCAGTTTCTACTTCGTGGCTTTTAGATTTGCAATGTTGGCCTGAAGCGTTTGCGCAGCGTTCGTGCAGTTCTGTCATATATCATAATGAAACATATAAGCGCAATATCTCATGGCGTTGAGAGATTCTTGAAAAT